CTGGTTCCTGTTAGTCTCCATCTAGTAAAATTTCCTATTCTATTATTTTTGTCACGGATTTTACTTTAATTTCAAGATACCATAACAAGCTGTCAAAATCAGATGTAACTGAATTCCTTGGGGTGGGGAGATTTCATCACAGATGACTGGTTGAAGAGAATCTGCAAAATACAAAGAAAGAAGAAAAATAAAGTGTAATAGCATATGGAGATTAAAATACAAATCAGGAAAAGGCATAGTGCAAGCTTCCAACCCAAATGGTTCTGTAAGAAGACATGAAAGCTGGGGAGAGCATTTTTACTACTCCTCTGCAATAGGAATTAGTTTCTCTGTTGTGTTTGTAGAAGGATTTTTAGCTATTCAAAAATAATAGTTTTAATTTGGAGCCAGACAAGTCCAGTGGGTAGCACTGTCATTGTAGGTGAGCAAAGAAGGGCAAGCAACTTGTTTTACAAACTAATACTAAGACAGAGAAAAGTCAAAGGAGCAGCAGTGTACCAGCAAACTACCAGGAGGAATATGGCAATCCTGAAGAAGGCTTTTTCCTAGGCTTAACTGGGCAGTGAGGATGAAGGAAACTTTGGCCATGTAGAGTTTGCTGTTTGAGACCTCAAGTAATCCCATGAAATTTGAGTTTTACTGCCCAGGTGTGTGAAATAATTGAACTAATGCTTAGAGACCTTTAACTCTTTCTTTTGAAGATTATAAAATTGAGCCCACTTTTCTCTCTCAGCCTTCTAAAGGGAAAATTACTGCAGTATTGTCAAGAGCAGATTGCCTTTTATTTGGATATAATTTCCTGTATAGTGTAGAATTATCTCTAAAGGAGTTATGTTTTGTAGTGCATCAAATATAAGGCTGAGATAGTGTTACCAAATATTCACTGTAGTGCTTTGAAATTTTGCCTACTCGAGATTTGTGGACTTCTTGTACTTTGTGGGGCAGGGGGTGAGGCTTTGACCAGGCAGCCATAGGTCTGGAAATGCAAGAAATGACAGAATCATGCTGAATGGAAATAAGTGCTCAGTTATCATGTGGGTAATGCTGATCTGAACAGCCCCTAGAGCAAGTCTGATTAAACAGGCTTACTGCATGGACATTGTAAATCTGATTAATCTTGAAAATGAGATGGCATAACTGTAAAAGCATGTGTGTGAGGGTGTGTGTGTGTATGTAATCTGCAAAATACTGTTGTTGCAGAATGCCTTCTATAGCCCGTGTGAGTTTCATGGCACTGAGGATGCACGCTGGGAACAGAACAGAATCTTTTCCTCCTGATTGAAAAGCTATTTAAACAAGACCATTAAAAACACAATTAAGAGCTGTACTGCTTTATTTCCTCCACGTAGGCAAAGTATTTGGCTCTGACCCTTTAAAAGATATAAACACCTACATAATTTCAGCAGACAGTCTTTTTGAAGCTAGGGAGCCTGGTCACATTGAAGTTACAAATAGAAGCTGAGTGTGCCCTCCTTTGTGAATAAGAATTTCATGCTTCAGTAATATAGTCATACAAGATATTAAAATTCTATGAAAAAAAAAGCAAAAAAAGTTGTCGAGATTACATGTGTATGTTATTTTTATTTTGTTCTGGAGCTGCTTGTCTTATATCACCTCTCACTACCACAGCAGGAAACAGATGTTATCAATATTTTTAAAGCATTAAAAAATGCTTCTATTTTTCATAACAACAAGAAAAATGTAAGCTTAGCATTGAAAAAATAAAAACAAGGGCAAGTTTATATGTGTTCCAAGTGGTGTTCCAGTTTTAGACAAAAAGCTTACAATTAGTTGCTGAATCTTTCTCTACTTGTCACCACACTTCACCAGGCAAAGAGCCTTGATGAAAGCTATACCTAAATGCAGTTGTAATGGGAGATTAGGAGAGAATTGGCCTTTTGTTAGTTTCCAGAATGCAGTGAAAACTGTTTAAATTTGCATGTGTTTATTTTCTCTTCTTCTCACTAGATGGTGCTGTTGGAGGGGGTTTGACTCCACTTACGTGTTGGCACTTGCCCAGCGTGAGCTGGAGTCTGAGCCAAGATTGTGAAAGGATCATCATTTTGAAGAGTTCTATGTACACTTGGCCCATGTAAAATGGTGCGGGAGAGCTTTTGCCATGACTCATAAAGAGAATGTGGTATATCTGTGTAAAAATTGATTTTGAAACTACAATGTATAAACTATGGAAAAAAGTAATTCAGAGATGTATGTTCCCAGAGAGGCCATATTTTTCTTTTATTTTCATAAGCAAGGATTTTATGGTGCCAGAACACAGCAGAATGCTGTTATCTCAGCATGATCTAAGAAAATCCAAGTGCCTGATCCAAGGGGATTAAATATTCTGCTGAACCAAGGGATATTTAGTGTGCCTGAAAAAGCTATTTTCTGGTAGGAATCTCATTTCAATATTGATTCCAACCAAATAAAAAAAAAAGGTATGTTTTTATGATGAAAATATAAGCTCTTTCCAGCTTTCTGTTTTCTGAGTTCCTTTTCTACTTTAGCATGCTTCTTACTGAAGAGATGAAACAGCTTTTAAATGTTAAAAAGTATAAATTAAGATAAAAAGACAATTTGTTTTAGGTGGTTAACATTTACTTCACTGGTGTTGAAATTATTCCTACAAGTATGAGAAACTGGCACAAAGTCTAGGCCTATAAGAAATCTAGTTTTTATTTCTTTCTTAATACAGTCTTTTGTTTTGAGTGGAAACCTTGGGTTTTGTTTACTGGGGAGTCTTGTGGGTTTTGTGAGAAAGAAAGAGAAAAATACTTGCAGCTTTTGCTTCTGAAGATGATCTTCACAGAGGACAAATGGTTCAAATAGTTCAAAGTGGATCTAGAATTTTTCGTTTTTGGTCATCTTCCTAGGTTAAAAAGGCTGAGACAGAGACTTACAATCTGGATATTGATGCATTTGTATC